CAGAGACCAACTCACTTTCTCCACCGTCCAAGCCGCAGCTGCGAACTTCCCGCCAATCAGAACCCGGCGCCGCTAGCGCTCCCCGCGCCGCCAATTGGGAGGCAGTAGGGGAGGGGCTGGAGGGACAGGTGCGGGGCTGGGGTCGCCAGAGGTGGGAGAAATCAGGTGGGAGAAAGCATCCCCAAATGTGGGGGTGCTTACGATCGGAAGGGATACGGAGGAGGTGGTTAGGGTCGCCCAAGTTAGATTCCCCTTCGCAGGCCTCATCCTTCCTCTGACAGTTCTGGGAGAACTGGGTCCGAATTTTGCTCCTTTGCTAGTGCAGATAACGGAAGCCCCCACGGGTGCCCACTTCCCACGTAAGAGTCCGAGGATTCTGGGAATGGGGAGCTAATCTTGAGGGTAAGTCTGTCTCAGCCCCAGGTCCACACTGACCTACCCAAAGGATTTGTCCCTCCTCAAGGTACTGTATCCAGGTTCAGCATTTGTAAAAGCTCTTTCTGAGAATCCCTGCTCCTCAGGAGACCCAGGCTTCCTCTCTGACCCACAAACTCCGCTTCCGCATATGCCCTTTTCTATATCCCAATCTACGACTTCTGAAGGTACCAGACCCCCTTCAGTGACTGGATTTTTTTTTTTTTAAGAGAGAGATTTTTGCTATGGAGTTCATGCCCTCCATTGAGAGACAGGGAGAGACAAAGATATAAGAATCGATAAATCACCCCCTCCACCCCGGGAGGATGGCCATGCCACAATCCCTTCTCCCCTATTCTTCTCCCTGGATCTTGGGCATGCACACATGCGCCTGCATGAGTTTCAAGCCACTGAGTGCAGGACTCGAACCGCAGTAGCTCATGTGGGGATCCAGCCATGTAACTGATACGCATCTTCTGGCCCCTGAGTCTTTGAAGACTCCCAAGAAAACTCTGACCACCTCCAGGCTTGCAAACATTCTGCTTAAAGAATTCCAGTCCCAGGACCAGCAGTTAGCATAATGGCTATGTCACTGGACTCCCACGTAGTCGACCGCGGTTCGAGTCCTGGACCCAGTGGCTTAAACTCAAGTCGGCCGCATTTGTGTGTGTGCCCAAGATCCTGAGAATGAAGTAGAAGGGATTGTGTCGTGGCCCTCCCCCCTGGGGGGTGATTTCTCACTTTCTGTCTCTCTCTCTCTCTCTCTCTCTGTCTCTCTGGCAAACACAAGCACCCTATAGCAGAAAACCTCTTAAAAAAAAAAAAAAAGAATTCCAGTCTCCTCCCTTCCTAAGGATCTCCACCATTGGGAGGTTGGTGGGTCTTCACCAAACCACAGAGGGCATTAGGTCCTAGTTATACCTACTTTGGCGATTCCACACTCTAGCCTTCAAATACAGAATTTCTCAAGTCCAACTCCTTACTTTTTCTTTTTCTTTTTTTTTTTTTTTAAGAATTTTGCTACAGAGCACATCCACCTGCCGGAGAGACATAGAGACAAAAAGTGAGAAATGACCCTCTGGGAGGGTGACTAGGCCACAATCCCTTCTCTTTCATTCTCCTCACAGGATCTTGGGCACACACGCATATGCGCCCTGCGTGAGTTTGAAGATGCTGGGACTGGCGCAGCAGGCAACAATGTGAGAGTCCAGTTACTAACCATTACGCCACCTGCCGGTACCGTCCTTGATTATCTGTTATAGTGCTCCCATGGTTTCTTTTTAAAGATTTACTTATTTATTTATTTATTTAATTCAATGTGTTATTTTCCAATTTGACCAGAGAGAGAGAAAGGGAAAGCAAGCTGCCAGGTCCAGGACTTGAACCACTCTCTACCATGTGCTTTTATTCACCACACCACCTACTGAGTCTTTGCCTTTTTTTAAAAAATTTTTTGAGAGGTTTTCCCTATAGGGCGCGTGTGCTTGCAAGAAAGAGAGAGAGAGACAGAGAGACAAAAAGCGAGAAATCACCCCCAAGGGGGGATGGCCACGCTGCAAGACCTTCTCCATTCTCCTCTCGGGATCTTGGGCATGCACGTACAGGCGCCCGGAGTGAGTTTAAGCCATCGGGTCCAGGACTCAGACCTGGACCTTGGTCGACTACATGGGAGTCCAGCGGCATAGCCATTACCCTAACTGCTGGTGACAAGTGCTTGCTTTTTTTATACATTCACAGCCCCGCCCTCTTTCCTCCTCATTTCAAACTCTGCCTCTCTTCTCCCAAAGGCACCACCCCCAGAGCTTCAGACTCCCTAGTAACCTCCACCCCCTAGTAACCTCCTGTCCCTGAATTTCAAGTCACATCCCTTCCCATAGAGAATTGAGACTGGGTCCCACACTAAGGATCCCAAACCCCACCCCCTTCGTGTTTGCCACACCTCTGGGGGGGTCCAGACCCCATCTCTCAAAGCAATTTGATTTTAAGCTTTCCAGTTCTGTAGCGTTAGATCCAGCCCTAGTGGATCCCAGGCTCTGCCCACACAGAGTACTAGGCCACACGCCCTGAAGGCAGAGCCCATCCCAGATAAACAGTAGCAGATCCAGCTTCTCCACGCCCCCCTCCTGTTCCTTCCTCCAACGGAGGGTGTGCAAGACGAACCGGGAATCCCTTCCCCCCTTACAGTGAGATACAGGGGCTGACTCACATGGAGACACACACCGGTACTGCCACCTACAGCAATCCGCACCTCCATCTGAGGCTGACACCTAGAAATCGGGGCCACCCACCATCCAGGGACACGCAGCCCCCGCCCCCCCACCAGCAGTACCAAAGGCACTCCCTTCCCATTTAGAGCCATTCGTGGGCTGTCCCAGCGTTCTGATGGAGTGCTGGCTCTGCCCACTGAATGTACTCCGTGTCTGGTCTTGGTGTGGTCCCCAAGGTCCCTCCTTACACAGCCCTGCAGGGACAAGGTATCCCTGACCCCATTTCTCCCCTGTCCACCTCCTACCCTTTGGCTGGAGCATTTGCTGGGGGCGCTGCTGAAATTTCTCCCTTCTGCCTGGGATCCAGGGCATCTTCAATGCTCGTTGCTAGGTAACAGCCTCTGGCTCACCACTGCAACTTCCGGGGATGTCGTAGGCTTCCCCTCCCCCAGATTTTGAAGTCCCTAGCTCTCAGTCCCACTCTGTTAGTGCCAGGATCTCCTAGGGTCGTGCCTATGTCAGTCATCTCTTGGAGCCTAATCTGATCTCGACCCTTCAGAATCCCTCAGAGTTCTAGACTCCAGCATTTTCAAACCCTCAGCCCATGGGGTGCTCCCCGTCACACACAGTTTTATCCCTAGCATTAAAAACACTTTAGTGTTCTAGATCTCTGACACTACAGATCAGTCACTCTGTTCTAGAATCAAGCATTCTAGAAACATGGGTGTTCTGGATTTCTTGGCTCAGGAGAGAAAAAGACCTCAATATTCTACTCTAGATCCATAAGCATTATAAAACACCTCCATATTGGGGCCAGCAGGTGGCACAGTGGTTAAGGTGCTGGACTCCACAAGGCGAACCATGGTTAGCCCAGACCCAGTAACTTGAAACTCACGCTGGGCATGTGTGTGTGTGCGTGCAAAATCCCAAGAGGAGAATGGAAAAGAGCACACGTGCCCTATGGCAAAATCTCTCTTTAAAAACAAACAAAAACATTAAACAGGGACCAGCAGATCATGTAGTTGTTACGTTGTTGGATTCCCACATGGCTGACTGTGGTTTGAGTCCTGGACACAGTGGCTTGAAAATCATGCCAGGGGGAACCAGCAGTTAGAGTAATGGCTATGTCGCTGGACTCCCACGTATCGACCACAGTTCGCATCCCGGACCTGGTGGCTTAAAACTCACACCGGGCGTGTGTGCGTGCGTGCCCAAGATCCCGAGAGAAGAATGGAGAAGGGATTGCGGTGTGACCATCCCCCCTGGGGGATGATTTCTCGCTTTCTGTCTCTTTGTCTCTCTCTCTCTGTCTGTCTGGTGAGCGCGTGCGCCCTATAGCGAAAATCTCTACAAAAAAGAGAAAGAAAATCATGCCAGGTGCATGTGCATGCATGCCCAAGATCCTGGGAGGAGAAGGAATCACGTGACCATCCCCCAAGGGATGATTTCTCACTTTCTCTCTCACTGTATCTGTCTCTCTGCCGAAGGCACGTGCCCTAAGGCAAAAGCCTCTTTTTTAAAAAACCCATATCTGGGGGCCAGCAGGCAGCCTGGTGGTTAAGAGCACTGGACTCCCACATGGCTGACAGCAGTTTGAGTCCTGGACCTGGTGGCTTGCTTTTTCACTTTCTCTCTCTCTCACTCTGTTCCTCTCTGGTCAAATTTAAATAAGTAAATAAATAAATTTAAATATGATAATTAAAAAAAACCCCTCATATTCTAGATTTTCTGACATTCTAACCACCCCTCAATTCTAGAATTCCTAACATTCAAACCCCTCCCAGTGTTCTGAATGTTCTGGTGTGTAAAAAGAAATGCCGAGATTCAGATTTACAGGCATTCCAGAACACCCAGGTTTTAAAATCACTTGCTTTTTAGACCTCTCCCTTGTGTTCTAGAATCTCTGACAATTCAGAACTCCTTGCTGCTATGGAGTTCTTAGAATGCAAACAACCCTCTAGTGCTCTGAAAGGGCTGACAGTCCAGAATAGCTCCTGTTCTCAATGTTTCCTAGTAAATCCAGATTCCTTTCTGTACCTTATTTCCAAAATTTCAGAAATGTTGGCAAGTAATTTTTTTTTTTTTTCTGAGAGACTTTTGACTTAGGGTGCATGCACTCCCCAGAGGCAGAGACAGAAAGTGAGAAATCACTCTCCGGAGGATGGCCAGGCCACACTCCCTTCTCCTCCATTCTCCTTTTGGGATTTTGAGCACTCATGCACACGTGCCTGGCAGTTTTTCAAGCTGTCAGTCCAGGACTTGAACCACAGTTGATTACATAAGAGTCCAGGGACATAACCACTATGCTATCTGCTGGTCCCAAAATAGTCTCTTCTTGGTGAAGAGTTACTGGTATTCCTCAGCACACCTCTATTCTAGAAGCAGTGGCTTTCCAGGTCCTTTTGTCATAAAATTTATTGGAGTTTTTTTTGTTTTTGTTTTATTTTGCTATAGGGCGCATATGCTCACTGGAGACAGAGAGAGAAAGTGAGAAATCACCCCCCAGGGTGAATGCCACACCATAATCCCTTCTCCTCCATTCTCTTCTTGGGATTTTGGGTATGCATGCACACACACCTGGCATGAGTTTAAGATGCCAGGTCCAGGACTCAAACTGCAGTTGACTATGTGGGAGTCCAGTGACAAAACCATTACGGCATCTGCTGGTTTCCCTAAACTTCTTTTTAAATAATTATTTAATTTTATTCATCATTGTTATTTTAAAATTTTGGCCAGAGAAAGAGAGAGAGAGGGAAAGTGACCAGAGAAAGAAAGAAAGAGAGGGGCAGGCCGTTAGGTCTGGGACTTGAACCACAGTCAGCCATGTGGGAGTCCAGTGTCTTTACCACCATGCCACCCAGCCCATAATAAACTTCGATAGTTTGGATTGACATGGAGATAAGTTCCCTAATACTGTTAATTCACAAGTACTCTAGAATATCTGTTTTAGATTCCCTAACATTCTAGGTCCCTCTGTACCGTATTTCAGAAGCTCTGGCATTCCAGAAACTCTGGAATTCTAAAGTTAGTATATTCTAAAATCCCTTGCTCCTAGTCTAGTCCATTTTCTCTCTCCATTGAGCTGAGGAGAACATGTAGAAAACCTTCCCAACGAAGTGCTGCATGTTCAGGCATTGTCAGAGAGAAAGCCCAGAGATGAGCCACTTTCTTGGTGTGGACAGGATAGAGGTGATTCTGGAAGGCCAAGGACACTGGGTGAGCTTTGACAACAGTGAGGTCTGGGATTCACGTCAGGGGTCAGCAACCACTCAGTTGACATCTGTGTTTCTGCGACATGTAGCCATCCATCGCTGCTTAGGCTTACAGAACCCTGCCTGTCCTTGCAGGAAGTCCTCCTCCACCATCTGCATGGGGCTGAACTCAGCTCTAGCTTATGAAGGCACATGGCCTGGGTTGGAACAACGGAAGCCCATCACACTGGCCATAGTGATCGGTCAAGAATGGCCATCAGACTCATTTCAAACCAATAAGAATCAGTCCTGTGATTTTTACTGCTGCTAGAGAGAAAAAACTTACTAAGGAGTTGCCTAGAGTCACCTGCCACTGAGAGGGGGAGACGTGACTGAGGACAACGCATCCCAAGGGGAAGCAGAGCCAAGAGATCCAATTATTTGCCATGAGTGTTGAACTCCTGTATCCAGCCAGGCCTGAAGCTAGAATGTAAGCCAATAAATTCCTCTTCTTTGCTTAAATCAGGAGAGGCTGATGTTCCTACACCTGAAGCCAAGGACCTGGTTGGACCACACCACCTCCCCAACCCACTAAGAATGCAAGCAAGGCATTGGCAGTGAGGACTTTATTGGGGAGGATGGTTTTGACTTCCAGAAAAGAGGGAAGATGGGGATCTTGTAACAGTGACCACTCCAAGGAGGCCCTGGCCCTGACCCCAGGACTCCAATAGAAAGCAGGGAGGCACCCGAGTCCCTCGGGACCAGGGTATCGAAAGGCACCATGACAGTTGCTCAAAAGGACGTTTCATTGAGCTTCATCTTGGGGGGTGTAAGGGGAGTCCCAAGACCCGCAGAAGGCCGGGGGGCTGGTGTTGGTGGCCGTCGGGGCTCTGGGCCACTCCGCACCAGTTCTTGGCAGCGTTCCACAAAACTGCCCCCACCACGGCGCCGGGCCTCAGTCTGAGGTGGGCTAGGGCTCCCACGGCGGCCAGACAGAGAGGTGCTGCTGGAGGCTGAGTGGAGACTGAGCAGATGAAGATGGTTAAATGCAAGTCATCACAGGGCAGTGCTCCCCGCCCCCCCACCAGGGCCGTCATGCCCTCCCCTCTCCCCCATTGTACAGAAGGGGAAGCGGAGTCTCGGCTACCTGGTGACCGAGGTGCGGGGAGAGGGGCTAGGAAGAGAGCCCCGCGAGGATGCCAGCGGGGCCAGCTCACACTGCTCCAACTGTTCCATCAGCTCTTTCTCGGTCAGGCCACCTGCTAGGGTCACAAGGCAAGGGACAGGGGTGGCAGTATAAGCAACAGAGGCTGGGGTACGAGAAAGGATGCAGAGATCAATGGACAGAGGTTAAAGGCAAAAAAAAAGAGGGATTGGAAAATAAGGGCAAGGAGGAGTTGGAGGGCAGAGAAAGCATGCAGGAGAAGGAAAGGAGTTCCAAGGCCTTGGGAAGAGAGATCTTGATGAAATAGGCTATGGACAGCAGGCCCAGGGCAGTCTGTGCTCCTTGGGGCGAGATGGCGTGCGGGAGGAGGGTTTGGGAGTACCAGGGGCCTGGCCGAGGCCGTCCATGGCGGTGGTCAGGTCCCACATGGCCAGGCTGCCGTTGGCCTGGCCGGTGAGCAGGTAGCGCCGGGGTCGAGAGCCAAGTCGCCGGGAGCCCTCGCACTCGAGCACCGTGAAGGCAGTTGTGGGTGAGCCGTCCACTGAGCGCACGGAGCACACCCTGAGGGTTGCAAGGGGATAAAGGGTCATGCTGATCATGTAGGGCCCAGCCTGGTTCCTTATCCCCATATCCTTCCTGGGTCACAGTGCCTACTATTATGGGTTCAGTTCCTGCCCCTCCAAAGAACACCTCCAATCCTATCCATCCCCAATCTACTTTTCTCTTGAGTTCCAGTCCTAGGGGGTCCAGCAGCCTCCTGGTCCCTCACACCTCCCACGTATCCCGAATGGGCCTCAGGATTCTCCCCAAATCTGTTGCTCTTCCCTATACAGTCACGCCCTGGGTATCAGCCTCCTGAGCATATCTCCATGGCTCCCCACTACCCTCCCCACCAGGCACCTGTCCCAGCTTCTTCTGGCGCCTGGCCTCTTACCCAAACCAGGGCTGCTCCCCCACAGCAGCCAAGGTGCCCCAGTGCACGGGACCGTCTCAACACTTTTATACAAATGACAACTCTGTGCCCCCATCCCTCACCTCAGTGTCACTCGTCACCCCATTTGGCCCCATGATGTTCCCTCAGCCCTCAGCTGCTCTGCCTTTCCTTCCCTGCTTTCTCTGCTCTTTCCTACTTATCCTACGGTCTCCACTCAGAGGCCGCTCTTCAAGAAAACCCACCCAGTCTCCTGCCCAAGTTCTCTGGTCTACAGCTTCCTGTGCCCCGCATTGCATCCTGCTGCCCATGGACCCCCAGTCCATCCCTGGACCTCTCTGTCCATGCCTCCTGACCCCACCCTGACCCCTTTGCCCATGCCCCCTACCCTGCCCTGACCCCTCTGCCCATGCCCCCTCATCTAAACCCAATGCCTCAGCCTGTGCCCCTGTCTGTCTTGCCCACCCACACTAGACAGTCTGTCTGGGGCTTCCCCGGCTTCACTCCCATCATACCTATCCTACCCATGATTCCCCCAGCCCCAAACCACCAGGCCTGTGCCCTCCCAGCCTCTGCTCCTTCAGTGCCCCAAGCCTGGGAGCCTTTCTGGCTTGCAACCCAGCTGCCCCTGCCTTCTCTTCTGACCATGCCCAATTGGCTGGTCCATCCTCACCGCTGGCCGGTGGAGGAAAGACGCACGAAGAGCTGGCTGGCACTCGGCACCACCTTCTGAATGAACACCTGCTGGTCATCCCGCTCACCGTAGGGGCCTGTGCCAGGGAGGGTAGAGGTCAGGCCCAGTAGGGATCCCCTGGGCCTCTAGACCGCAAGTCTCCGTTTCCTTCCCCACTCCCAGCCCTCCATCCCATCCCCACGTTGTGAGAGGATAGATGGGGTCAAAAAGGGAGTCACAACAGCCAAAGAGCCCAGGCTCCCAAGGGATCAGGTGCACCTCAGTGGAGACAGGGGTCCTGGCCAGGGGGTAGCTGAGTTCCACAAGAGCCAGTTGGGGTCAAACAGGGGCAGGCGGAAGTCTACAGGGGTCAGGTAAGGTAGGGGCTAGTGGGGGTGAGGCAGTTCCGTGGGGTGGGGCTGGGGGCCAGCAGGCACCAATGTCATTGCCAGCACTGCAGCCTCCATGCCCATCGGCAGACTCCAGTGCCAGGATCTTGAAGGAAGCGAGCGGGGTGGAGCCGGGCTGCGTGGAAATCATGCCTCGGAAGCGGGTCACAGACCATGTCCGCACGTGGTTGTTGTCGGCACAGACTGGGGAGCACAGGGCAGCAGGTCAGGCCTGGCCGTGGCATCAGTGCCCCTGAGCATGACCCCTTTCAGACAAGGCAGAATTCGGTGTCCTGAATTCCTTCCTTTCAGAGAACTCTTTCTTCCCCAGAATGCCAAGTGGACAAAACATCCTGTGGGCCCTACCTCCAAAATCATTCCAGAGCCTGATCTCACCAGACCCTGTCCACTGCCCCCTCCTGGGCCAGTCCACCTCATCTCCTGCCTGGACCCTTGCAGCAGCCCTGCCCTGGCCCCCCTGCTCCCATCCTATCCCCACAGTGGGTACCTGCAGACACCTGAGCCTGGTCTTGTCTCTCCCTTGCTAAAGGCCTCCCATACCCCTGCCTGTGTCATCTCCCTGGCCTCATCTGCTCCACTCCCAGCACACAGGCTCCCTGCTCTTCCTCAGACATATCAAACACCCTCCCACTTCAGAGCCTTCGCGATGCCTGTTCCCTTGGCAGGAAATGCTTGTCTGCAGACTTGCACTGCTCATTCTCTCCTTGCAGCTAAAAGGCCCTTCCTTAGTCAGGCCTTCCCTGAACTGCCTGGCTCTCCAGTGACCCCCCGCTCCCCCCACCCAACACTCTCTCATCACACACAGTTTCGTTTCTATTGATGGTCCTTACCACCTCTGTTGTTGATTTATATTTTTATGTTTACTTATTTTTTGCCTTTCCTACTAGAACATCAGCTCTGTGAGGGTAGGAGCTTGGCCTGTCTGTCCATCACTTTAACCTATATGCCTGGCACACAGTAGGTGCTCAATAAATGCTTGCCAAATGGATGAGTTCCTCCCTTCCCTCTGCAATTCACTCCTCTCAGACTGGTCCCCCTAGGGTATTCTCTCACTTCTGTGATTACAGTCCCAGGTTTGTTCTGTTCCCATAGAACTGTCTCCCTGTGTGTGAAAATCCCCAGCCACCTGGCCTCACGCTCCCACCTGAGCTGTCTCCCCTGCAGGGAGACAGGCACCTGGGTGGCCCGGGAGGCCCACCTGAGATGAGGTGCTTCTCTGAGAGCATGATCTTAGTGACAGGGCTGCGGTGCACAGTGAAGGTCTGAAAGAGCTGGGGCCCCGAGCCCACTGTCTCAGGATGCTGCACGATGACCCGGACGCCCCCAGAGCTGGTGCCATAGGCAATCTCAATCCAGTTCCCACTGTCACCTGGGGACGGGGCAAGGGTGAGAGAGGGCCTGAGTCACAGAGAGGCCAATACTAAGGTGGGAAGAAAGAGACAGACAGGCCCAGACAGAGACAGAAAGAGAAAGCAAGGAGAGAGCAAGGAGGTGAGGAGATGTTAGAGAGGGAGGAAGAGGGAGACAACGCTGCAGATCAGAAAAGAGACCCAGAGGCAGAAATTAAGTCAGAGAGAGAAATGGAGTGAATAAGAGCTACGTGAGAGACAGAAATAGAGACACATCGGGAACCAGAACACAGAATCATACAGAGGGATATACGGACAGAGACAGTGATAGAGAAGAACAGAAAACACAAAGATATATTAATATAGAACAAGACAAAAAAAGTCACAATACAAAAAAAAAAAAAGTAACTGTCAGGAACTTAATAGACCACCTTAAGGAATGTAGGTAGGTAAAATGTGGTTTTGTGGGGCCAGCAGATGCCATGGTGACTGGGGTGGCTGGATCCCACATGGCCAATCATGTGGTTTGAGATTTGGATCTAGCAGCTTTGAAAACATGCTGGATACATGTGCCCAAAATCCCAAGAGAACGGAGGACAGAAGATTGCAGAATGGCCACCCCCTCAGAGGGTGCTTTCTCTTTCTCTCTCTCTGAAGGGCATGTACACTGTAGCAAACATTTTTTTTTTTTTGTAATTTTTCTTTTTTTGAGAGGTTTTTGCTATAGGGTGCGTGTGCTCGCCAGAAAGACAGAGAGAGACAGAGAGACAGAAAGCGAGAAATCACCCCCCCAGGGGGGATGGCCACACCGCAATCCCTTCTCCTTCATTCTCCTCTCAGGATCTTGGGCACATATGCACATGCACCCGGCGTGAGTTTTAAGCCACCGGGTCCGGGACTCAAACTGCGGTCAACTACATGGGAGTTCAGCGCCATAGCCATTACACTAACTGCTGCCCCTCCACCCCATCTCTGTTTTATGAACATGAAAATATCAAGCTGTAATCAGAGATGGGAAAGAAACACATAGAACACACAGACTAACTCCTGGTAGACAGGAAGCTGCAGTTCACACTTAAAACAGAGCTTATTGGAGCCAGCAGGTGGCGAGGTGGTTAAGGGCACTGGACTCTCACGTGGCTGACTGTGGTTCAAGTCCTGGATGCCTTGCTTTCTCACTCTCTTTCTTTCTTTCTCTCTCTCTGTCCCTCTCTGGTCAAATAAAAATAAAAATAAAATAATTCTTTAAAAAAGAGCTTATTTAGAATACTCAGAAAATATTTGTTGAATGACTAAATGAGTTACTCTGTCCCTCTCCTGATAAATCTCACTGGGTTGTCCTATACAATAGGCAGTCAGTTGCAGGCTAGGCTGGGGCTGGGGCTGGCTGGTGATAGGAGAAGCAGGCCATAGCTTACTGGTTTTAGGGGTGAGGTAGACACTGAGGGCGGTGACCCCGTCCTCCGCAGGGTCCCGGTAGAGCTCGCTGACAAGGAGGTCGTTGTCCTTCATGCGCAAGGGGAACTTCTGCACATCTGGGGTGGGAAGGGAGGGCGGAGGGTTTGTTCAAAGCACCCGGCTTGTCCCCTTCCACTCCCATTTCCCAGGGGAGGCTCTCGGGCACGTGGGACACAGGTGCTACTCACCTACATAGTAGATGGAGCCGTTGTTGCAGCCCAGAAGGAGGAAGGAGCCCGCGGCATCGTAGCTGGTGATGGGCTGCACCTCCTGGACCTGGGGCAGGTGGGATGGACTGTGCCGTGAGGCCTTTCTGTGCTGCTGTTTCCACCCTGCTCTTTCACCTCTTTCTGGTTTTCTGTTTTGTCTGTATCTCTCGCTCTCCCTCTCTTCCCCTGCCTCTCTCATACATTAGTGGGCAAAAAAGAACACTATGTAGATGTTTGGGGGCTTTTTTGGGGGGGAGTATTTAGGACATGGCTTGGGGTGAGTGCAGAGAGTGACGGACATCTATCTGCATGCTTCCTTCTGTGTTCCAGCCTCCTACATCCTCTTTCTTCATCTGTTTCTCTACATAGTCTCTGGAGAATCCTCCCTTCTTTCTTATCCCATTCCTCCCTCATGTCAGCTCAGCAGCCCCTCCTCCAGGAAGACTTCCCTGATGTTCCTTGGACATTTATAACACACATGCCCAGCTCTAGCCACTTCTGGTTTCCCTGGCTCTCTTCAGGTGGGGTGGGAAGAAAGGAATTCCCACTTGGGTATGTACAGTCTGGATACCAGGGAAAGGGACAGCCAGTCTGGCCAGAACTCTGACCTGCCAGTGTTTGGTGACGGCATTCCACACCCCAATGCGCCCAGTGTGGCTTGTGGCAATGAGCTGGTTCCCGACGAAGAACAAGGCCTCCACAGGCACTCCCAGATAGAAGACTCCTGAGGTGGGCAAGGAGGGCTTAGTGGGTGCCCTCTTCATGGTGGAGAAGAGGGGTAGCAGGGAGAACTCTGAGGCCAGAGGATTCGGTTGGGCCCTGGAGTCCTCAAGGGACAGAGAATTCCAGGAGGGACTCCAGAAGATTACACTGGGTCAGATTTCTGAGTGGGGTGAGGAATTCTAACATGGCTGAGATTTTCAATAAGGCAGAAAAAACCTTTAGTGGTGGCAGAGGAACCCTACAAGGACCGACATTAGGGAACAGATGAGTCTAATGAGTCAGTAATTTTTTTTCTTTTTTTTTTTTTTTTTTAATTTTTCAGAGGG